TCCCAGCCCCCCTCGCTCTAATCACTAGACCCCACTCCCCTCCCAGAGCTGGGGAGAGAATTCAGGCGTCCTGACTCTCCTGCTCTAACCACTAGACCCCATTCCCCTCCTGGAGCCAGGGAGAGAACCCTGGAGTCCTGACCCCTCAGTGCTGTTAAACAGCCCCTCTCTCCCCCTCACAGGGATATTTTACATGTGCGCGTATCGGATGCACGGATGCCAGCGCGTGGCTGAGACGCGTTAAACCCTGCGCGATGGCGCTGCAGCGAATCGAGACACCTGCATCCCAGGGCGAGTGATACCTCGCCATCCCCACCCCCAGCCTTCCAGCAACCCACCATGGGACATCCCCGTAGCAAACGCCCTTCGTTCGTTTCATCGGATTCCAGGCCAACTTCCTCCTTTGGTGCTCGGAGCTGGACGTAACCAGAGCCAGCCCCCTGCCCCCAATGCTTTAGAATCAAATCAGACAAAGGGAAACATCAGTTACCCCACGTTTTACAGTCTGGGGGAAACCAAGGCACGGCGAGATGGCCTGACCTGCCCAGTGTCATACCGGAACACAGCAGCAGTGCTGGGAATTGGAACCCAGGTGTCCTGAGTTCCCGGCGGGACCATCCTTCCTTTAGAACCGGATTTAAAATATCAAGCACCTGTGGCTGACTGAACTTGTGCTGTAGCTTTGATTGATAAGCAGACAGGCCGTGAAGTTAAATTGGCGCCTGGAATTACAACTGCTCAGAAATTTCTCTCTACCTCCGCGCCCCTCTGAGTAGCGTCAGCTAAGGCAACGTAGCAGCAGGAACCGCAGTTTTAAAGTTTTGTGTCTTTGGCCAGACAGCTCCGATTTTTGCCTTTAACGAAGTTTTATGCATTGAATTTCCTTGGTTTTTCTTTTCTTTTTTTTTTAAAGAAAAAGAATAAAGGTCCTTAAAGCGGTTTGTTCCTTTGTTGATTTCTACCCACAAAATCGCTAGTCGTGCTTGGAAACCCTTTGTGTGAAGTGCCTCAAACCCTAAAGCGGTTTGTAGTTCAATCCCAACAATGTTTTTTAAACAATTTTTTTTTAATTTCCTAGGCTTTTTGATCAAAGGCAGGAAAGATCCTTGAAAGCAACTTACCCTGCCTCAAGTGCCAAAGCGATATTAAACTGTTTTAAATATTTAGAATTAAATTATTATGAATTTGTATTTTCATAGCCTCTGACGGCTCCAGTCATGGACCAAGCCCCCATCAAGTGAGGCCCTTACTCATGTTAAATTTCCTTTTTTCTTTTAATAACAACAAGTTTTTAAGGCAATTAAAGCCTTAAATTAAAGGCTTAAGTCTCTAAAGCCAAAAAGGTATTACATATTTGTGCATAAATTATCACCCAGGGTCCCTCTTACTGAATTCCCCCCCCCTTTTTTTTTAAGAAAGACATTTTCTATAGGCTGAATGAAACTGTCTAAAAACCTGAAGATGCATTAAACCATTTTAAATATTTACGTGACACAGTTTGAAATCCTCACAAAGTTTTTACAATGAAGTGCCTGGAATTTTTATTTGGAAAGAAATCTATCCAGCTATCAAAATGTTTCACGGGAATTTGCGGGTTTTGACGGGGAAAAGACAAATCATTTCATTTTGGCAACGTGGACGTGTTTCGTTTTGACTTTTACATTCCGAATATGTCCTATTTTACTATTACATAATCTTTAAACTTGTGTCAATATCATGTATATGACCTTGAATATTTTAATAGACTATTAAAAGTCTAAATGAAACGAACCGAACCATTTGGCTGGTCCCGCGCAGACATTTTTTGGAATTTTCCTTGTGTGGGCAGCGTTCAGATTTTGACTTTGTGTTCCCATTTGGAACGAGCAAAATTCAAAATGTCAGAATGTCCCACAGAATAGAAATTCAGGCTGGTGACCAACCCTCTGTTTGAGCTTATGTTAAAATAATCACAAAGTTTTTTGCACTGAATTTCCTAGGTTTTTAGATGTCTATAAAAATATAAATAAAAGCTAAGGAAGGGGAGAATTTTTCAAACGCTCCTAAGTCACATACGCCCTTTTCCTCAAAGGTGCGTATGTGGGCACAAGTGCCAAAATACCTGTGAGGATCCAATGGGAGTTAGGAGCCTGCATACCTTTGGGATTCTAAGCTGCAGGGTCCTCAGTCCCATGAGAATTAGGCACCTCAGGCATTTAGATTCTTTGGAAAATTGTATCCGAGATCTGCGAAGCGAATGAAGCTATCTCGAAAACGGGGCAGCGAGAGAAGCTGATTGAAAGCCGATCGTCCCTCTGCCGAGCAGTAGCAGATGTCCGGCCCTTTCTCAGTCGCTTTCACGTCGGAGTTCAAATCGGCGCAGCAGAGCTGGCAGTGTGCTTATTGGAAGTTGTTTATCTGCGCCGTATACCCCAGGCCTGGACCAGAGGTGGCCAAAGCAGGCAGCCAAACCCCAGTCAGGAATCCCAGCGCAGCCACCAATGCCCGGGGCCCAGGACTCAACTGGGCCCCGTGACGGCGGAGAGCAAACGCCCCGGCCTGCTGGCGAGAGGTCCCTCCGCAGAGACCTGGCAGCACAGAGACGGACACCGCGGCGGCGTCTCGAGACTGAACGTCAGCGGCACCGAGCTTGGCGGGCCGGGTGCACCCGCGCTCCCTAGTGACGCCCCGGGGGAAGCGGGGTCATGTCCCCTAGCCCTGCTCCAGTCAAGGCAGAAGGCTGGGTTTGAGGCGCCCGATACGCGCCTTACTCGGAAGGTAGCACCACTGTTTTATATGATGTGCCCCCTCCCCCCCAGTGGCCCCATCACGGTGCCACCTCCAGGCGGGTGCAGATTACGGTCACGCCCGGGGCATAAGCGGCTTCGCCAGGCACCGGACCAGACCTTGGCCGTGTAGCCCACGAGCCAGTGGCTCGACGTGTGTGTGTGTGTGTGTGTGTGTGCGCGTTACCCTGGGCTCCCACAGACCCAAGCAGTGAGCCCCTCCCCTCTTCCTGTTACTACCCCTCCCCTGGAAAAAAAGATGCCACCCCCCCCTTCCATGGAGATTAAAGGGCCTGTTCTCAGAGCTGCCTGTCTGGTGACTTATTCGACCCCCTGGAGCGCCCCCCATCCCCACACTCCCCTCAAGTGTGTGTCAAAGGACTCCTGGGTTCTCTCCCTGGCTCTAGGAGGGGAGGGGAGGGGAGGGGAGGGGGCTGGTGGTTAGAGCAGAGGGTGCTGGGAGCCAGGACTCCTGGGTTCTCTCCCCGGCTCTGGGAGGGGAGTGGGATAGGACACGGGGGGCAGGACTCCTGGGTTCTCTCCCTGGCTCTAGGAGGGGAGGGGAGGGGAGGGGAGGGGGCTGGTGGT